TAGGGTCCCTTTGTAGGTCCCCGATATAGTGCCTCACCAGGACCCCAAAACGGACCCTAATTTAGAGAACTGCCCATATTATGTAACCCAGTTTTTAAGTAACTGGGTCCCTGGATTATGTGGAAGACAGACTTTTTGGTCAAAGCTGAGGGTGTAGAGGGACGGTGCGTTTCAAGACTGTCCGGCACAAAGGTCGTGCGACTTCAATCTAGCATGGGCTCCTCAACAAACTGAGGAGAGTTTGCAGGCATAGTGCAATAGGCAAAGCAGGCCAATCATCGAGAACTTCGTGGGGTCTGATGTGGTTGCCGCTTAGTCTTTACCACAGCACTTTCTTCGTTACGACTGTCGTTGCTCCAGATGAAACATGTGTCTTGCATGGGCCCTGAATAATTCGAGAAGGGCTTGCAGACATAGTATAATAGGAGAAGTACGACTATCATCGAGAACTTTGATTGGTCTGCCTCGGTTGCCGGTTAGTCTTTACCACAGCGCTGTCTTGCCTTGGCTTGAGTTTGACGATGGTGTGAACTGAATAACTGCTGCGTGTGCATCCCATAGGCCCTTGTTACACAGGCTTGATTGGATCCCATAGACCCTAAATCCTAAACCGTAAAGCTACACCTCGACAAAGCCAGCAGAGCAGAAGATGACGCGGATTTCTTGCGATCGGAGCTGGCTCAAGTCTCGCGAGCCATAGCAAACCATCCCCAGGGCTCCAGGTGGCTACCCACACAGGGATTAGGGTTTAGGGCTTGATTAAAATCATGTATGATGTAACATGGCAACCCCCTACTTGGGTAATTGGGGCCCTCGTGAAGGGAGCTTGATTTTAACAGCTCCAGAAGTGCCGGCATAATTTAATTTAAGGGGACCTTTGGGGTTATATAGGGGCTCTATAGGGTATTTGGGTTAGGGGTCCCTTCTAGGGGCCCCTCCGATGGTCCCTTAAAGAATGCCGCGTCATGGCATCTGGAGCCGAGGTATCCTACGAAAGGCTTCTCAGGCACTCCACGTCGGAGCACCGAGGCCCTGAATCCCAATGCGCACCAAAGATGAACACGTTTGTGTGTGTATATGTATATATATAGATAAATAAATAAATAAATATATATATATATATATATATATGGTCATATATGTATGTATATATACACACACATATATATATACATAAATACATACATACATACATACATACATACATACATACATACATACATGCATACATATATACATACATATATGTGTATGTACATATACATACATGTATAAGCTGTAATGTGTCGTATTGTCATAGTCTTGTCTGGTATAGTATGGCATGGTAAGGTATGGTACGGGAGGGTTGCGTAGGGTAGGGTATGGTATGTATTGCTCAAAACAGAGAATAACAATAACAGTAACTTTTAACGACAGTAAGACTCATAACGAGACCAGGAAGAAGACGCATAATGACAATAAGAATCCCTCCCTCGATCCAGCATAAACCGTGATTGCATTCTCTCCATCATCGGTGCGGGGATACTAGCCCTGGCTCTTGGTACCGTAGCCAGCTGACCCGGAGCCCTGCGGCTCAGACGCCAAGGCAGCTGCACACTCCGCCGAGAGCCTTTCGGAAAGTTGTTCGCTTCAGTCGTTTAGCCTTTAAGGTTCAGGGCATGGGCTTTTTTTGCCTCCCACCTAGCTAGGACTGGCTCATGGCTTGGGGTTCGTTCTTTAGGGCGTTAAGGCTTAAGGCTTAGGGGCTTTTGGGGCTAAGCTTCAAGGCTTTGGGCTGGCGGCTTAGGGCAGAGCCTCTAAGGCTCTAGTTAAAGCTCAGGGTTTCGGATCTCACCCTCGCGCAAGGTCAGGGTTTCGGATTTAAGGTTTAGGGCAGGGTTTAGGGTTTAGGGTTTAGGGTTTAGGGTTTAGGGTTTAGGGTTTAGGTAAAAAGGATGCCCTCCCAGAAATCTTCTTGGTTTGGTCCCTTTGTCTTCTGCAGAATATGGGCTGCGAAGCCTGTACGTCTTACGAAAATCCTGTATCAAAACTCCAAAAAGGTTCCAATGAGGGTGAAGCCTGATGAGGCCTTTGGCCGTGGATCTTAGCAGAAGTTACCGTAACAGGTGTGTATCACCAAAGATAAATTCCAATTTTCTTTGAAAACCGCCTGACCGAGGAATGGACCCTGAGCTATGCTATGACCCCTGCCACGGTTTAAAGTACGCTCCTTTCTGCACCTGAAGGATTCATGGACGATCATCTGGGTTCGTCTTTCTTGCAGCATAGTAGAGTAAGTTGCATAACAGGACAAGGAGGGTTTAGGGTCCCTGTCCAGCAACCTGAAGTCTTAGACTTAGTCATCAGGAACCTTCAAACTTCCTCGGGGGGGTTAAGTTTAAAGGTTGGGTTGTGGGTTTAGGGATTTGGGGTATCCAGTCACAGCTGATATTCGGAAGGGGCCTCAAAATTGGCTCGAATGACCCGAAATCGCAAAAGTCTCGCGTGTTCGCACAGAGGAGACTCAGGCATTTCTGGTTCGGAGGAGCGTAACAAACCCCGATCTCACTGTAATAAGTAGTATTGGCACTTGTTTAGGCACCAACATTCTAAAGAGCCTTGCTCAACCTCGACTCGAAGGCCCTCCTAAACCGTAAACCCTGAACCCTAAACCCTACCCTGAACCCTACACCGCTAAGACTCGGAAAGGCTCCGTCCTCGCGTGGTGGCTCTGGACATGGAGGAAGTACCTCGGGGGCCAGGGGTTCAGGCTTTAGGGTTTATGGTTTAAGGTTTAGGGTTTAAGGTTTAGGGGTTTGGGGTTTCGACTCTCACACTCGCACAAGGCCGGCAAGGCTGGTTTGGGGTTTAGGGTTTAAGGTTTAGGGTTTAGGGTTTAGGGTTTAGGGGTTTCGGGGGTTCAGGGTTCAAGGTTTAGCGGCTCCGGAGTTAGCCAGTTCAAGTCGAGCAGGAGATTTCGGACTTCGAAAAAGAAACACCCGCACAAGGAATCCCATCTCATGAAGAAAATACAAGGGTTTAGGGTTTAGGGTTTAGGGTTAAGAAAATACAAGAGTTCATATTTCTCACACAGCTCACTTAAATGTAAATCCTAAAGCACGAAACCTTAGACCCGAAACCTTCGACCATACTCGACAGGCTACATTCACCCTATCTAACTTCATATTGTCGTCTGGGCTGTCTTATATCATACAAGTCCATTCCTTTGTGGCACTGCTGTTTGACACTGTGGCACAACAAAAACTCTTTTACAAAACCCATTCCTTAGTGGCGGTTGTCATTGCTTGACACTGTGGCACAATAAACTTGGCTAACAAATCCATTCCTTGGTGGCGTTACAATGATAGTCTTCCACAGCGACTTTGATATAAGCAAGTGGCTGTGCCAGCCAAACCCTAAAAGTGGCGTCCGTTAATCACCGTCGGTAGTCTTCCACAATGGACTGTTATAAACGAAGCAAGTGGCTGTGCCAGTTAAACCCTAAAAGTGGAGCCCGTTCATCACCGTCGGTAGTTTTTCACAATTGACCTTGTTCTAAACGAAGGATTTGCCTTAAGACCCTCGACCTCGATGGCGTTTTGTTTAGGGTTTAGGGTTCAGGGTTTAGAGTTGAGGGGAAAGCGTTTAGGGTTTAGGGTTTAGCGTTTATAAGGGTTTAGGGTGATCTGATCGAGAGGGGGGATGGGTTCGATGGGTTAGGGTTGTAGGTTTGGCGTTCTGGAGGGGGGTTGGCGAGGGCTTCGAGAGGGTTTCAGCACTCACAGTTCTGGGACAAGCCGGAGGGTTTTGGGTTTAGGGTCCAAGAAAC